ACTTATTGCGAAAATGCAAGAAGGAAAATGCGCTGTGGGGATCGAACCTGGGAACACTTCTTTCAAAGACCGTCTCAATAACCAGTCGAGCATTAGGCGCACAAAGCAGTGCCGCTCTCGATCGCATTTCTCTGCAGCGCGGCTTCGAAAGTCCTTCATACTCCATCACCTAGAGGGCTAGGATAGCGAAGGCAGATTTGAAATCATCGTTCCGAGCCCGTCAAATCAATACACATATCATATTGAAAGGCCACTTTTCATTTCCTTGCAAGTCTCAATGAAGTGAAATAGAAAGAAAGAAGAGAGTGAAATCCTATCGGTAAGCTTTTTATAGTCCTGAATAGCATCCTCTGATCGCTACACTTTGTTTTCAGATGAAAGGAGAGCCAGTCATATCTGTACGAGCAAATATTCGCTGCATTTTTACCAGTGGCACATTCTATCATAAATTCACTTTTGTGTGTTGCTAATTGTGTCACCGAGGGTCTTTCTGGGCACCTGTATACGACATATCATGTCGTTTTCAACAGCAACAGCCCGTCTGTCAGCGAATTGGACTAAATGTACGATAAATTATGTCTATGCATTCCTTATATGACACTATTCAAAATATCTCACTACTTATAAAACGATCTGCCAATACGAACGAAAAAAATTCTCCGTTTCCTCCCAAGCACCACATAACCGTGGTATTCGAGTACACATGAAAATGTTTCAATTCTGAGACAAGTTCAACATCGAATGAGAGTGTTATCTTTTCGTTTATTAGGTCAATCAACGATACTTAAAATTGACTCGACCCACATTATACGTGCTACTCTTCGCACTTACTCTCCAGTTGTAAAATTTGAAACAGGGGCGAGACAGGACTCGACTACAAGCTTTCTGCTGGAAATATTGATTGTTGCATACGCGCACTCGATGCCCGAGAATCGCTCAGATCAACAGTTTTCATGTCGCTCAATTGTTGCGCCTCCAAACCAAATAGTTTTTCAGCTGTGTTGGAAAAAATTGTTACCCACAAAGCTCCAGAAAAATCAGTAAGTTCAACATAAAAAAACCTACTTCTATTTTTACAGAGTAAATAAAATAGCATACTTGCACCATGTAAGCCCATGTAAAGGCTTTTATAGACGTGTAACATTTTGCACAGTAGTAAAGACCGTCTTCTCGTTGTACAACTTTTTTTGAACATCCGATACTCGCACAACTCTACAAAACCATTTTCAAAAAAGATCAAAGCAAACATTAATGATAATACTTACTTGATAAAGGAGTCTGTCCTTTCTGACCGAAGTGATCATCGCCTTGAAGTTGACGTATCGTTCATGAGTTGTGAAAGAATCTTTTTCGCGATGAAATGACAACATTTTACCAATACAACAGACATCCTTTTCTGAAACTGCATACACTACAATCAAAGACAAACGCCAAACTGTCCACATAGATCGGTACCATTCCACATTAGTTGACCCAAAAAATGAAAATTGCAATTTCGCCACAACTTCGTTTAAGGGGATTATATGGCAGCTAAGCACGAGTATAATGTTTATTTCGCGCGGAAGCGGCA